AAGCTCAAGGACCCGAGTTCAATTCCCGGTACCAAAAAAAAAAAAAAGTGTGCTCCTATATCCACAACTCTAGGCAGAATGCTCACAGCAAGGAACGTGGCAAGACCTTCTCACACTTACACATGCTGCCTTCAAGTCCCTTCAAGCTCCTCACTCCAGCAGACTAGGAAAGGAACCACCATTCTGGCAGGAACACTTACTTGGCCATGATCATGAGGAGAAGGAAGAGCTGCTGTCACACAGTGGGGACAGGGAAGAATACATCAATGGCCAGGTGACTCCTGTTGGGTTTTGGTGGTACATAGAGAAATGCAGAATTGACAGCCTATGAAGAGGCTCATGAGCGTGGGTTCCTTCTCTTCAGGATCATACCATCAGACAAGCTTACCTGGACCAGAACAAGTGCCAGCTGAGAGTGAGGGGCATCTGAAATAGGCAGAAGAGGACAGAGATGATGGATTATTAATCGCAGCATCAAGATGAGCTCTAGCGGCCAGGGCCATAGTTTGTCCCAGGAACCTTCCTCTGGGGGATTTCTCCAGGAGAAAAGATCATCAGGAACCATGAACGTGTTTCTAGATGGGATGGACTTACTGCAAGGAGCAAGTGAAGGGGTCCTGTTGCACCCAGAGGACGAAAGCCCGGACTGCGGCCGTTGCTGGACAGGCTGGTTCCTGGTGGCTCACAGCTCAACCTACTTCCAGGACTGCCGGAAGCTGCTGAGCCCAAGGTCCAGCCCAAAGACTGGTTGGTGTGGATTTTCGAGGGCCTACCCCCTTGCTGTGATTTGGGCTATTTCTGAAAAGTGTTCCCAGCTTCAGGACTCCCCATGGGATCACTGAGGGTCTCTGTAGCATTGCCTTTCAACTCCTCCCACTTCAACTCTCATTTCCTTTGTTCCCTCCAGTATTTTTCCTCAGAGCAGTCTTCATTAAACCTCTTGCACACAAATCTCAGCATCGCAGGCTCTGTCTCCCCAGAAATCCAGCTTGTGACAACTTGCTAACCCATCTAAGTTTGTACAAAAGTAGATAGTTGTTGTAGTTAGAGTTTGTAAGGAAGCAGATTTAATACAGGACACATAATGTACAGGGTTATTTTATAATATTCACCCAAAAAGTCAAATGCAGAGGCGTGCAAGAGATCTGTCTACATACTTTGAGACCTGAAGAATCCAGCCAAGGGCCTGGGTCCCATGACAGTGTCCCACACAAGTCCAGCTAAAGGCTGAGAGTCCAAGGCATGAGTCCAGCTGGATGCCTAGAGGCCACAGCAGTGTCTCCTGCAAGTCCACATCGAGGATCTGCACCAGGAAGGCCAAAGGCCAGGCTGGAAGCCAGGAAGCCTGTGCCATGGGGCGAAGGGTCTGCGCCACCAGGCTGAGGGATTTGCACTGGAGCCAGGAGGTGACGCTCACGTGAAGACCAGAGCTCCCCTGAGGAGAAAAGCAGCTGCCCCCAGGGCCAGCGAGGCCCCGAGCTCCTCCTCTGACAGAACAGCTGAGTTTGCAGCAGGAGAACCACCTGCAGTGAGCTTCTCCAGGAAAATCAACAGCCCCCGATCTTCCCCTCCGGTTCTCTTTATCCCATTGGCAACAATCCCCAGGTGGATCCTCCACGTACCACTCTGACTCTGCTCAGCTGGGCATCCCAAGCTGCCCATTAGTCCACCAAAATCCTCACCCTGGCCCTCCCTCCAGACTCAGCACAATCAGGTGTTCCCATTTGTCCTCATCCTCCCTGACTCTTAGAAGGGTTAAACCTTCAAACTTTCGCCAGTCTGGTGCCCGTGGAATGGTGGCTCCCCTCGGATGTAATTGACATTCTCCTGATTACTAATGAGGTTTAACATCTTTTCATATCTTCATTCATTTTTCTATTAGGTATTTCTTCTTTTAAAAAATACATAGTCTGTAGAAGATCCCAGTGCGGGTTTTATGAATTACAACACAGCTTGCCCTATTGTTCCTTTAATAATGTCTTTTTGTGTGTGTGTAGAGGAGATTAAACCCAGGAACTTTGTACTGAGCTATATCATGGTCCTTTTAAGTTTTTGTTTTTCTGAGACAGGGTGTCACTACGTTGCACAAGTCTCAAACTTGAGACTCCCCTGCCTCAGCCTCCAGAGTGCTGAGATTACACAAGTGAGTCACCACACCCAGCTACCTCTGGCTTTCGTCTATTTTACCTTTGTGGTGGGTGGAGATTCTTTTCCGTCTTATTTAAGAAACTCCCTATTAGGAGGTCATGACGGTATTTACCCATGCGTCTTCTAACGGTGTTGTTTCATTTCCACATTTATGTCTATGATCCACTTGGAACTGATGTCTGTATGGTGTGAGGTATGGATCCAGTTTTGTGTGTTTTTGTTACTCATCCGTCAACATATTGAAAATTCAGTCCTCTCCCTCCTGTTCTTCAGAGCCATCTTTTTCTTCTTTTATAATACTTTATTTTTCAGAAAAGTTTTAGATTTACAAAAATAGAGATAATAACACTGACTACCCGTAAACTCTACATCCAGCTTCCTGTTATTAACATCTTACATTAGAACGGTATGCCTGTTACAATAGACGAGCCAATGTTGATGTATTATTAACTAAAGCCCATCCTTCATTTAGGTTTACCTAATGTCTTTTTTTGTTCCAACGTCCCATCCACATGTCACCATATATATATCCATGTGTGTGTGTGTGTGTGTGTGTATATATATATATATATATATATATATATATATAGGGGTTTTTTTGTACCGGGGATCGAACTTGGGTCCTTGCGCTTGCACAGCAGGCAGCAAAACCACTGAGCTAAATCCCCAGCTCCTGCCACCTTATATTTACTTGTCATGCCTCCTTACGTTCTTTCTTCTCAACTATGAGTTTCTCAGACTTTGTTTTTGAGGACCTGGACAGGTTGAGTTTCATGGGTCAAATATTTTGTAGGATGACCCTCTATTAAATGCCCTCTGGTGCATTCACTGAGAATACAGTGGGACATGGGGTTGGGGGCCCCCAGAGGGCTGTGCTACACGTACAAGGGTGCATCCTGCCACCTCAATCTGGCACCCCTGGCGCTGGCTTCACTCACCCAGCAGGTGTCGGAAATGAAAATGGAGATCTAGTAAGATGTGACTTCCTCCCAGTCTCCACTTTGATGTCAAGAAGTATTTGCGATAAAAAAATATTCAATGTGGTCGATTTCTACAACTTTTCTGACAGATCTATGATTTTTTTGTATCTCTTACCTATCTTGTCCTTTCCTGAATTACATGATTACATTTGCTAATGAGTTTTTAAACCACAGCAATGGGTTCATCTTTTATTACATTACTTCAGTGAGTTTTCCTTAGGTTTTATATATGCAGCTTAAGTATACAAGTATTTAACAATATTTGGAAGCATATTTACATATTCAGATATTCTACATAGTCTTTTAAATGCTATTTAGCCTTTAATGCTCTAAAGGATCTCAACATATATCTGGGCTCAGTTAGTATTATAGACTGAAAAAAAATAAGAATAAAACAAAGTTCCTCAAAAATAGCATCTATAATGAACACATGTGAAAACTTTACAAAGCCAATGCACCCATGATGTTGTAGTCAGCAGGATTTGGCAAGGGAATACATTTGCTACAGGACACATATTTTATAACATTTTATGATAATTACCCAAAGAGTCAAATGCAAAGGAAGAGATTACCATACACTAGAGGCCCAAAGAATCCAGCTGAGGGCCTGGATCCCAGCAATGTCCCACACAAGTCCAGCTGAAGGCTTAGAGTCCAAGGCAATGTTCTCCTTGAGTCCAACCAGAGGCCTAGAGCCCATGGCGATGTCTCATGCTTGTCTGTATTGAGGATCTGCACCCAGAAGGCCCAAAGACCCGTGGTGGAAACCAGAAAACCTATGCTGGTGAGATGAAGGATTTGTGCCACGAGGCTGAGGGATCCACACTGGAGCCAGAAAGTGAGGCTCACGGTGAAGACCAGAGGCCAGGATCTCCCCCTCCAGTTCTCTCTTTATGGCTATTGGTAACAATACTCAGGTGGATCCTCCATGCCCACCCAGACCACACTGATTCGGTTCAGCTGGGCGTTACAAGTTGACCATTAGTCAGTCCACCACACATGAATATTTAAGCAAGCTTTCCAAAAATATTTCCCACCTTTCTTTGTGTTGTGGTACTGGAGATTGAACCCAGGGCCTTGTGCACTCTAGGCAAGTGTTCTACCACTGAGCTGCAGCCCCCCTTAGTTGCCTAGGCTGGCCTTGAACTTATGATCCTCCTGTCTCAGCCTCCTGAGTAAACTGGGATTACAGCATATGCCATCTTGCATAGTCCTACTTTTCTTATCTAAATACAATGGCCCTGTAAAAGGAAATGTGCCCAGTGCTTGCCCACATAATAAGATCAACTACTTAGAATAAAGGGAAGTTTTTTTTTCTTAGCACCCTACTTTCATTCTTATCCAATTGTCTTTCCTTATTTTCCGGCCTCTAAACCCTATTAATCCCCCAGATAGGGTGAAGCAGAATATCCTTAGACATTTAAGAACAAATTTAAAACTGCCACCTAGCACCTATCAACTGCAAACCCTGGCACTATCTCATGAAGTTTCTGCAACAGGGGTCTGTCTGGGCACCCCAGTTCCCAAACATCAGCTGGGGACAAGGGATCCCTTGACTCTAGACTACTGGCCATTGCCCCAAGCCATTCTTTCTTTCTGTTCCTCTTCCATGGTTTGCTTGTGCCAACCTGCCTCTGTCTCTAATCTTGCCTCCTCTACCTGAGTGCTGTGGAATTGCTGCCCAAAGATGCAGCTCACACTAAGATTTCATGTTCCCACAGAGTTTTTGTCTTAGTTACTTTTCTCTTGTTCCTGAGACAAAACACTGGACACCCAGAGTTAAAGAGGAAAGGGTTTATTTAGCTCACAGTTTGTAGAGGTTTCAGTCCATAATCGGCTGGCTCCAAAGCAGGGCAGCTTGGCTGAGGGGCAACAGTTCACGGTAGTGGAAGCAGCAAAAGCAACAAGGGGACTTCACAGCATCTTTCTGCACCTTTTCTCTTATTCAGACCACTTAGGGCGGTAGCGCTCACATCCTTATCCTAGTATCTCGGGCCTGGCCCCATCATGAATCAATCACACACTCTAGATTCAGCCACCTCTGAAATAGCCTAGGACCACATGAGGCTTTGGAGGGACATCTAGACACAAACCATAACAGTTTTCATTCGATTAAAACCAAGTACTACAATCCATGTGTAGTCGGACAGTGCATTTTTAGCATTCTGTGACTGTTCAGCGTTGTTTTTCTACTTGCTTCATGACACAAGGTGCAAGGTATTAATGAAACTTGATAAGAACCAATTAAAACATCACTTTGGGTTTTACATTAACTAGTTACTCCGGTAACTATTTTAGAAGAGAGAACTTGCACGTAGATGACATGGCAGTGAGGGGCATGAGCATTGGGCCCACTCCTCAGGTTCCCATCTGAGACTTCAGGCCGTCATGACGCTGACCCACAGCTCCCATGTGCAGCAGCAGCAGCAGGAGTGAGCTTGCGGGGCCGTGGGTGTTGCAGACCTCAGCCCATAAAAGCGCTTGGAACAGTGCCTGGCAAACCAGTAGCACGCATAGCAGTTAGCTTTGATGAATCCCACACTTTAGGCATGTTCCCTGGGGCTCAGGTATTGGGATCTTAGTCCCCCAAATCACATGTTAATAGGATCTGGCGGTGCGGCCCCCCAGGGAGGAATGAGAACTACATAGCAGGTCATTGTGGGATCCCCACAATAGCATTAGTGGCTTTATAAGGAGAGGAAGGGAGACCCCACCACCAAAGTCCCTCGCTGGATTGTAGCTAGGGCATCCTGAACTCTCCAGCCTTCAGAACTGTGAGCTGAATAAACCCTTATTCTTCATAAATTTCCCAGCCTGTGGTATTCAGAAAAAGGACTAATACCAGTAACATGGAAACCTGGTGGGAGGGACACATGTAAAATATGTGTAAAGAAGAATATAAAACCATGTATTTGCAGGAAAGAGATACTTTTGTTTTTACCAGTAGACAGGGTGTCTCCCTGCATGGCTCAGGCTGGCTTCCAACTCCTGGGTACAAGTGATCCTCCTGCCTCAGGCTCCCAGGTAAGCAGCTGGGACGACCGGCATAGGCCATGGAGCCCAGTGATGCATCCGGTTTTACACTTCTGTTTAAAACTGTCTTTCAGATATCTGTAATGTATACCCAAGACAATGATTATGATGATGAAACTATGATTACTTTTCAAAGGTCGCATATATTCACGGAATAGAATCAGAAAAGGATTTGCACTTCGTGAAGTAAAAGGCGATATACCCATAGAACGTCGGTGTAAATTAGGGTAGCAGCTTCCCTTTCAATCTTTCTCAGAAATTTTTTAAAAGTTTAATAATCACATAGTTGTAAAATTGGTTTCTCCCTTTATGAATCAATGGGAAATTTTACAAGTTTGTGCCATTTTCCACAAAATGCCAGCACTTTAATAGCGAAAGTGAAATAGATCATCTACGTGATCTTAGAGTACATAAGAACAGGGATTTATTTCTGACAAAAATATAATGAATAATGAAATGTTTAAGTCTAGACCGGTAGTATGTTTACACTGACTGGAACCGACAAAAGGTGAGCCACGCTTCAGTAAAATGCGAGTTTAATTACAGTTCACTTATTCTTTTGTCTTTTTTCGTGCAGGGAATTGAACTCGGGACCTTGCGCTTGCAAGGCCGGCGCCAGAACCACTGAGCTGAATCCCCGCGCCATGTAAAATCAGCTTACAGCTTGAACTTGCCACTGTTGAAATTCAGGACACGATAGAGGGTCTGAGGCGGTGCTGCCCATGCCTCGGGGACTGCTTGGAGTTGCTGTGGCGCCTGCCGGCGCACTGTGAATCCGTCCCCGCTCCGCAGCTCGCTGGAGCCTTTCAGCGCCCACCTGGCGGCCAGGAGCTGAAAGCGGTTAGAGGAGGGGCCCCCTGGAATCCACCCAGCGCCTCCCAGGGGGCTGAAGGGGTTGAAGTGTGAAGTTTGTACAAAACCGGCGGAGATCGCCTCGTAAAAGGAGGAGCGTCCCTGGGTGGGCTCGAACCACCAACCTTTCGGTTAACAGCCGAACGCGCTAACCGATTGCGCCACAGAGACTCCAGTGGCGCTGGGGCTCTCAGCCGCGGCCTTTATGACGAATGGCAGCGCGGGGAGCGCGGGCTTCCGGGCTCCCTCTAGCACCGGCGGCCTCCTGTCTGGCGTCTCCAGCCTTCTCGGTTTCACTCGTCTCGCCGCGAGCGTCCAGGGAGAGGTTGAGCGACCGAGGGGGGCAGCCCCGGCCGCGCCCGAAATGCTGCCGCTTCCCCGCCCGGGGTCAGTTTCTGATTCAGTCTCGGTCCTTTGTGAGAAGCAGCCGTGTTCACCCCGCGGGCTTAGGAACTTCGCCGCTGTTCCCAGCTCTGCCCAGCGCCGGGCTGGCAAAGCCTTGGGCTGTGCTTGCACAGCATTTTCAAGGTCTGCTGAGCTGTATTTTCCTTCTTCATTTTAGAGCCAAGCATTGCTAAGAGCACGTGCCCGCCCCGGCGCGCTCGCTCCCCGCTGACTTGCAGGACGATCGTTTGTCCCGGCAACATTGTGTCACCAGAAAGGGACGCCAGGGAGAGATACAGTAACTCCCCGCGCGCCCGAGCCTCGCGGTCCATGCCTGCCTGTCCTGGCCACACTCGCGTGCCAGCCGTGCCGCTCGCACCTCGAGGGGTATTTGTTGCCCCATTTGAGGAAAGAGAGGTTAAGGGAAAAGTCTGAGATGTGTCCGTCCGGTCAGCTTTCGGCGCACACACGCTGTGCTGGCGAGCGTGCTCTGCCCCGCAAACTCCCCGCGGGACCATCCTTCCTTTCTGTGGACGTTTCCTGGCCACCTTTGAAGGTGCTCTTCAAAATCCCACACCAGCTTTCCTTTTCCCTTCTCAAAGAACTGCTAGCTTCCGTCTGAGAACACGATATGTAAGGTTTTTTCTACATCACGAAATTGCTCTATCCAGAATCCTTCCAAAAAGAATTCAGACGTCTGAGACCCCCGTGCGTGGTGACAACTTAAATTTGCTTTGGAACCGAGCACCAACAGTTTCTCGAAAGCACTGAAATGTTAAACAGCTGGGAATTCATCCCAAAGTCTTTCAACAGCTTCTAGATGAGCACTTGAAAATCTGAATTTGAAAAACACTCTAGGAGCCTAGAATGCGTCGGATTTCATTCGAGGATACTACCTTTCTACTTTATATCATATATATTTATTTATATTTTATATACTAAAAAGGTCAGGCACTGCCTTTTCTACTTCAAATGCCAAAATGAGCGTCCTGCCCGCTGCTGTTGCTCTTTTGTGCCTGTTCAGCCGATACCGACTACAACTGTTGTTCCTTGGGTCCCTTCATTAAATATTTATCTTCCTGCTTAAAATAACAGGCAAAGTTCTGTTCAGGTCCGTATCTTTAGCTCCCATCCCTTCCTCGCTTGAAAAGTGTACTAACATTTTAACCTCCAAAAAGAGAGAAGATGAGAAGCTGTTGATGAAAAAAACTACTTCAGAAAGGAAGATTAACTCCTTGTACACCAAAAATTTGTTTATATTGAGTGCTGCTATTTGTTTAAAAATTCTGTCCTCAAGCCTGGTTCTGGAGCTTTTAACGTTTTAAATAAAATAAATGGCCATTTCTACTGTCCACTGTTCATTAGCTTTGCCTTTTTCTGTCTCTCCACTTGAATACAGTTCAAAAGAACATGCAAATATTTAAAAACACTAACTGGAATCTGAGCATTTTACTCCAGTGATGTCCACACACATAGCTTTTATGAAAAATGTCCGCTTAAAAACAAGAGAGCAGCATGTATTACCATCTAAATCTTTATGATTATCTGGTGTTAGGCCTGAATACTTAATACTCAGTTTTAAAGCCAAGTAAATCCACTGGATCGATTTTTAGAAACCTACTTATCTTTCCTTATATTTCAGGATAACCCAAGAAAAGTGATTCCGATAGCTTCGTTAGTGCCTTTGTGTGGCTGATCTGTGAGGATTAATGGGATCATATATTTAATTTTCTTCTAGGAGGAGAGAGAGAGAGAGAGAGAGAGAGAGAGAGAGAGAGAAACATCTGTGCAGATGGGATCCACATGTCTTAACAGACAAGACAAGATGGGCCGCTGATTTATAGACCTTCTAGATGTTGAGTCCAGATACTATCTCTGCTTCATCCCAACAGAATAGGCACCTCATGGAACCTTCCTTAACATGGCTGTGCATGACCATTAAGCATTAAGGTTTTCTGTTATAGTATTTCAGAAGGATGGGGACCAAGTTGTTAAAAATGAGCAATCCAGTTAGAATTTAAAACGCACACACACACACACACACACACACACACACACACACACACACACTAACTGGGCTGGGTGGGGGTTTTAGCTCAATGGTAAAAGCCCTTGCCTAGCATATGCAAGGCCACTGGTTCAATCCCCAGTACTTCAAAAACCAAAACAGCAGCAACAACAAGGCCTAGTGAGTTAGAGAAATAACCCAGTAAGTGGAAGCACATGTCCCAGGAAACAAAAGGGAATTCTAAATCAGACGTCACCAAAAGCAAAAGAATTCAAGGCCAATCGAATCACATTTGGCAGGTGCTTTCTGGCAACGTTAAAATGACTCCCTCCAAGATTATAGGTTGTCTGCCACCATCAACAGCATCCTTCTCATTCAAAACTGACTACCAAGATCAGTTGTCATCAGTTCAGCAAGCCAACAGCAGTATAACAGAAAAAAGGATTCATAGTTGACCTTTAGATTGGGTCTACTCAGAAAACATACAAGAAATTTGAGATAGGTATATTAGCATATCATTTCTTCTTTTTCCATTTTTAAAGTCATATCACTTAGTTGGAAAATTTTATGAAATTATTCAGATAATCCTTTCTATTTTTAATAAGTAGAGATGATTTAAGGAAACTAAGGAAAAGCAAAACACAATATACTAGTAATCTGCCTAATTTTCAAATAAAAATTATTTTACATGTGTTCTCCATGAACTTCTCTTTTGTATGAGGAAATAATCCCACATTATTTTTATGGTTTTACCAAACAATACAGAACTAAAATTTTAATCACTGCTTCTCACCTTAGCAGAAAAGTATTATTCACAAAATAGCATCGATGATCTCAACTGTGTCCAAACCAGTAGAATCTTAGATGCCAGCAAGGAATGGTGGGAAGTGAGGCTTCAACTTTCTTGAGCACACTGAGGGATTCTCTCCTGGAAGACCCTGTGGGTCTTTCGGTGTGTGTGATGCATTCTCCCTCAAAATTGAAGCCCCAAACTTGCATCTTCCACGGTGTTCAGCGGAAGCCATTGGAGACAAGAATCCTTCACTATCTAATCCGTATACTGCAAAGTGTGCTGTATTAGCAGTCTTGCCTATGATTCTCAACACACCTACTCAAAAATTAACATCTGAAGAAATCAGAACAAATTCCTCTTCTCATTTGCTTCAAAAGAATAAAGAAAGGCAGATGCCAACAGGAGACTCAGACTCAGCTCTGGGGATGTGGACTGGGTGAGGGGCGGGGTGCAGGTGCCCTCAGGGGGAGCCCAGAGACAGCAAAGGAAACCAGTGTGGAGAGGATCTGGCAAGGTGGCCAGGTGTAGGAGGAAGGGTACTGCTATTTCCTGGTTTGGAATAAGTGTTCCTCTGTTTCTTCCAATATGAAATTAATAATATTTGCTCTGCCTAGTTCATAGACCTATGGGAAAATAACACACAAAGATAGACAACCACGCCACTTAAATTTTTAAAGATCTCTTTAAAAAAAATTGAAGACAAAAGTTGTGATTCATGCAGAGGACAGATTTCAATTCAACTGGAGAATCCGCCAGGCATGAAGGTCAAGAAACGCACAAGGCACTGTTCTACCTTCCTAGTGGCCTCAAAGGTCCCCAGGAAGGCCCAGAGAGCACGGATGCAAGGTGAAGCCACTGTCCTGCAGAGCCAGCAGAATCTCAGGTGTGGAGAACACAGTCCCATGCCCAAGGAAAGCTGCCTCTCACACGGCGGCTAGGACAGTGCCTCCCACACATGTCAGCTACGCCACGAAGACAGCTGTGCCTAGTAAAAGATGGCTCTCAGGGAGCTGCTCACACGACAAATAGCCAGGCAATCGTTAAAATTCTTGAAGACAGTAAATATTATCTTAGTATTTAGGGTTACAGGTGTAGTCTAGAATTTAAGCCAGCTTGATATAACAATCCATAGATTGCAAAAATACGTAGGTCTTACAGCATTACATAATGATTCGCCTCAGAGTATTATAAATGCCAAGTGCTCTCATACATTTAAAATGCCATCCTTCCAAAGGGATGCTATTCACATGATATAACAGGAATAAAATACTTGTTCGGGGCCTGGGGTTTACAAGGCATAGCAAAAATTAGTCTTTGGGACTGCGGGAATAATTCAGTGGGAAAGCATGTATTTAGCACGTGTGAGGCCCTCAGACACCACACACAAACACACACACACACACACACAGAGTTAGTTTCCTTGTGGCCTTTTAGGAACACAACCATCTTCTCGAAACCCAGGCTGAGGCCCTGGCATTACCTCAGGCGCCTTTTATTTTATTGCATACCTTTGGACAATCACATCCTTCTCACTGTCTCTTGACTTTGACTCTGTCTCCTCCTCCGCACCACCCGGCATTCCCACCACCACTCAGTATTAAGCCAATGCATTTCCTGTCCCTGTTTCCAGTAAATGTGCACCCAAAGTAATACAATACAGCATTATGTGCCATAATACATATACGGTAATAATACAAATACGGCATTTATAATGCTATAAACAATATAATAATACAACACAGCATTATACATAATACAAAATAATACAATATAGCATTACAT